TATATATATATATTATATAAATTATTATAATATATAATATATATTATAGTAAAGTCATTGAGAGCATGAGCGATAGAAGAGATATTACATTAATGCAGTCAGACACATTACATGGTATCATTGCTCACTTCAGCCCAGCATGGTGGTCCACGTGGAGAGAGGGGGAAGGGAAGGAGGGCAAGGGAACAGGAGAGCGAGGATGGGAGAGGAGAGGGGGAACAGTGGGGAGAGACCAGAGAGAGAGAGCGGGAGAGAGAGCCGAAAGAGATCTCTGTTGCTGACCCAGGCCTATATACCTTTGGGGGGTGCAAGCCCACTAGTTACAGGTAAAGACATACGTCACAGGAAGAGGAGGGATTGGGGGTATACATGTGACAAGATGGGCGGATCCTAGATTTAGGATGGCAGCTTAATTTAGCTGGTTTGACCTGTTCCTGGCTCAACTGATAGAGACCATTATCAGTAGGCTGTGAACTCCTCCTACAGGAGCCTGTCCATTGTGCCAGCATCAGGGAGCAGGGCCCACTGCAGTCTGGCAACTGATGGCCCTGGGTGGGGGGGGGAATGCCTGCGCATCTGACCTCCCCCCACAAGAACCAACTGAACAGCACCTACTGACAGAAACAAAACTCTAGGTCAATGGTTCTCAACCTGTGGGTCGTGACCTTTTCACAGGGGTCACCCGATTCATAACAGAAGCAAAATTATAGTTATGAAGTAGCAACGAAAATAATTTTATGATTGGGGGTCACCACAACATGAGGAACTGTATTAAAGGGCTGCCTTAGCAAAGTGGAGAACCACTGCTCTAGGTGTTCAGGGCACAGCAATAACTGAAATGAAGTCCTTACTTACATGGAGCTTCCATCGTGGGGAACAAAGAAATTACATAAGTAACTACCTAAAATGACTTCGGGTAGAAGTAAGTATGGAAATAAGTAAAGGAAGTCAAGGCAATAGAGAGTAAACCGGTTCTCTTCAGGTTGACTCCGAATCACAGATAACCTCCTGTGTTTCAGAATAGAACTGCACTCCCTAGGTTCTCAGTGTTGGGATCTTTGGGTGGTAGATTGCCTGCCCTTTCTTTCAAGATAGCTCTGAGTGGATTCGAGCTGCCAGTTTTTCAGTTGGTAGCTGGGGGTGCCACCTAGGGAGTCTGTTGAGAGTAAATGTATTACACATAATTCATTTTCTGGGTAAATCCAAGTGTAACTGCATTTACCCTGGTGATGCTGTTAGGGAAGCATTGGACTGCTAACCCTAAGGTTGGTGGTTCAAATCACCACCCTCTCTGAAGGAGGAGGGTGAGGCTGTGTGCTATAAAGATGTTCAGCCTCAGAGCCCTATCTATGGTCTCTCTGAATTAGAGTCTACTGGTCATGGTTGTAGGTATTTTCAGATCAAAAACTGGGTTACTTTTAGAGAGGATCTTTGTTTTCTTTATTACGGTTTGTTTGAAAGTTTTCAAAGCACATTTTTTTCTATTTAATAATTCATATGAGGGGCTTTAGGAAGTTTGTGGTCACGTTGATTGAGAGATACTACATTTTTTCAACCGTTTTTCTGAAGCCCTGTCAGACACAACACTTGGCTGTGTGACATGGATTGCAGGCCTCGCATTGTAACTAGTCTTCCTACTTCCTTCCTTTGTTTTCTGTTTCCATTCTTCATCCTTTTCCGTCTCTTGCTGCATTTTAAGCTTTGTCCTTTGGCAGATGCTACCCTATTGGTCTCCTGTGGCTGAATGGCTACTTGCATAACTGTACATCTTTATGGAAACCAATGTCTCATCTTTTTCTTGCCAAGTGGCTGGTGTTTTTGAACCTCTGACCTTTCTGTTTGCAGCCCAATGTTTAACCTCCTGCACCACTGTGTTAGATTGGGTTTTCTAGAGAAACAAAAGCAGTGACACTTGTATGTGTTTAGGGAAGAGCTTTATATCAAGAAATAATCTTACATCAAGAAGGCATCCCACCCTAGATCTACTTAAGTCCATGGATCTGATGCTAGTTGGATGCCTCCTCAGACTCACAGCTGCAGGCTGATGGTGCAGAAAGGTGAAGCAGGATGTAGGAAGATGACAGGTCAGTGGGTGCAGAGTCCTGTGGATCCAAGATCCGCGAGGAAACACGGAATTCCATAACTCTCAGGGTTGGGCAGCCCATGTAGGGCTGCTCCTGGAGACAGAGTCCCAGAGAACAGGAAGGTGAAGGGCTGGGGAGTGTTTCTCTTATAAAAGGGCTACACTTCCCTGGAGGCTTCATCAAGCTAAGATCACAGGTTGGATCCCCCCCCCCCCCCACCCACACACACACACAAGCGTAACTTGACATAAAATATAATTCCCACAGCCACTGGTAGAAATCCCTATTTAATCTATTGTTTCTGTAAAAAGGTCTTATAGCTTTTATTGTATTTATTTACATATACTTCTAAGAAGCCTTGGTGGTGTAGTGGTTACAAGTTGGGCGAAGATCTGCACAGCCAGCATTTAGAAACCACCTGCAGGTCCGCTGGAGAATGCCTGGTCTTTCTATGAACAGTCACAGGGGTTGCTCTGAGTCCACATTGCCCCGGTGGCAGTGGGGTTTTGTTTTGGTTTGCTAATTTTTTCCACAGTATTTTATGCTCGTTGTTTCAAGGGCTAATACTTGTTGTTTCATTTCTAATTTCCGGTTGTTTGTTGCTAGAACATAGAAATACAGTTGAATTTTATGTGTTGAACTTGTGTTCTACATCTTTGCTTAATTTTCTTAATGGTTCTTGCACCTTTTATAAATTACTTAAAATTCCTGCACTTTACTATCTATGGCAGTTTGTTTCACTTTTTCTGATTTCTAAGTCTTTCATTTCTTTATCTTTAATAACGACATGCGATAGAACCTGAATTACTGTGTTGAAATTGTTTTAAATGACTGCCTTTTGAGGTATGCATCTGATCATTGAGTAATCATTTGTAATTTTTGTTTTGTAAATTTAGATTTTTAAACTGACTTTAGATTTCCTTATAGCAGCGGAAATGCTTTAGTGCTGGATTTTAGATTTGTATTTCGAAGTATATTTTTGCTATTGGTGATTGTTAGTGCAGTTTCTTTGTCATCTAATTGTATGTCATGAAGACTTTATAGGGACAAATGATGTCCTTTTCTCATATCATATTAGAGAATAAAGGACCAGAGTGTCATATTACAGACCCAGCTATGTGTAACAGAGGAAATGACTGGAGGAATAAGGAGTGAAGCATATAGGGTAACAGCAAATTACAAAAATCGGAGTTTCATAAAAATCAATTATTTTAGGGGTGTTCTGTTATGCACGTCTAAATGGAATTTATTTTTTTGATAAACATGGAAAAATAAACAGTAGGCGATGGTCATTATGTGACATCACAAATTTGTGTAATACTCTTGTTGAAAGTTGCCATTTTGGTCTGAATGGTTAGCAGTCTGTACATTATTTTGACAGTGCTTTAAAGTATTATAGTAAATGAAAATTGAATGGTAAATGTTTTTGTGATCATTCCTTATAGTTAAATTTTTAAAAAGCTATAATTTTATAATACAGTTGTCAATAAGCATGTGTATTAAATCACTGCATACTAAAAAGTGCTTTTTTCTCTGTGTGCTTTCCTTTCTAGAAGAAGAACATTCAAATTCAGAGATCAGCACCATCATTGTATTATTTTTTGGAAAGCTAGCAAAGGATTGTGCAGACGTTTTGTATAAAGGGGTAAAATATTAATTATTGTTTATGAAGTAGATTTAGAGTTCTGTTGATGATGAGTCACTATACACTTATAGGCATGTTAAAATGGTAATTATAAGGCAAGATTGTTAAAATTGCAAGTTTTAAGAGGTCATGAAAACTGCATCATTAATATAAAAAGGAATCTTTCTTTCACTTTATTTTTGATATTCTATAGAACTTCTTTCCACCGTGTCATAGAACATGAGAGTCCTCTTGGATTGTACATCTCTGTAGCCGAATTGTCCACTGCGACCTTTTGTTATCATGTACGTGTCCTGAATGCCTGTGTCCAGCTTGGTATCTACTACTCACCATGAGTCCTAGCAGAGTAGTAAGTTAAGTATTAGGATGCTAACCACAGGCTAGCAGTTTGAATCTACCCCTCCTCCAAGGGAGAAAGATGAGGCTTCCTGCTCCTAGAAAGATTTATCGCCTCAGTAACCTTCTGGGGCAGTTCTACTCTGTTGTGTTGCGGGGGTGTGTGTGTGTGTGTGTGTGTGTGTGTGTACTTTCAGTGTAGCTAATGTCTCAGAGCAACGGATTTTTAGTTTAAGTAATCACATGTAGCTAAGTCCATATTGTATTACGCATGCCATCTCCAGATATTAGCCAATTTAGTGTATAACCTTGAAGATTTTTTCTGTTTGTGCATTAAGATGATTTTTAAAAAGAATCATATGGCACCTTTGGCATTAATTAGAGATCCTGCAGATGATGGCAGCAGCACTAGATTTTGTAGTAACTAATATTAACAGCATGTAGTTTTTCATATATTGTTGAGTCAGCAGAAATTCTCCAAGTGAGTTATTGAAAGTTAGGTCTTCAAAACCAATGCTGTTGCAGAAACATTAGCTACTTGGCTTCAGTTCCTTTTGATTTATGTGTATATCTAACAAGTAAATGACAGAAAACAAAAATCTGCTTTTCACAAAATCACACAGTCAAATGAGACTGTTCTGTGTTTCTCTTTCCATGTGCACTCATTTGGGCTGGGTAAACATTTACTAAGAACTGACATTTTCCTAGACTCTGGGCTAGGCTCTGGAGAACCAGAATGAGTAAGACACGGTGCTTCGCCTTACGGAGCTCACCATCTCTAGTCTAATGGGAAATTACTTAATAGGGGAACTATAATGGAGTGATAATAGCAGCATCAATAAACTGTGAATCTGCTTGGAGTATTTAGGAAGTATAACAAACTGTAGACAACTTTGTTTTTCAGTTCTAAAACTTATTATGGAAAATTTCAAGCATCTATAGAAGTCCTGAGAAGTGTAGAATGGATCTCCATATATCTGGTTTTTACATTTATCAGTATGGACCTGTGAGTCGCTTCTGATTCCTGTCAGTCCCATGTATGTCAGAATAGAACTGTGCTCTGTAGGTTTGCCGTGGCTGAGTTTTGAGAAGTAGATCACTAGGCCTTTCTTCCAGGTACCTCCAGGTAGATTTCAACCTCCAACTTTTGGGGTAGCTGCTAAGGATGTTAACTTCTCAGGGATTCCTATCAGTATTTAAGTTATCCACATATAGGCTAGTTTATATGATTATTTTTTTATATTTGTATCATCATTTACTTGCCTTCCTGCCACCAATGATTTTGAGTCAAATGCCAGGAATTATATGGCTTAAAAATATGGAAAGTTTACTATGTGAAAGATTCTTCAATGATACATCCACGTATATGGGTCTGCATATTCATAAATCCCACAGTGCTGTTTATACTATCTAAATATTGATACCATTTTAAAAAATATGAGAAATAGCTAGTGGATTCAAAGGACCCTTGGTTGTATAGTGCGTCATTGGTTAGCTACTAACCAAAAGGTCGGGGATTCGAACCCATCAGCTGCCCTGTGGGAGAAAGAGGTGGCATCCAGGCAGTCTACTTCCATACAAGTTTACAGCATTGGACACAATATGGAGCAGTTCCACTCTGTCTTCCTGGTGACTAAAGGTGCTGTGTGTCAGAATCCACTCCACAACAGTGGGCGTAGTATGCCATGTGCGACCAATGTTCATCTGACATTCTGAAATACTTTATGTAGGACATTGAAACCAGCCACTTTGAGGAGAAAAAGTCAGATTGGTATATCCTGAAATATATTTGCTTCCCTAAAGATACATGTTTTTTAAAGCATTAATTTTGTGTCTTAAAATTTTAAAGAAATCTGGCAGATTGCTGATGGAGTAAGAAATACAAATTATAGTGAAATGCTTACTCAAAAGTTAAATTACAAGGGCTCAGGTAGAAAGAAAGTGTTTTGAAAATGATAATTTGTACATTGAACATGTGTACAAATGTGCTTGATACAATTGATGTATGGATCATTTTAAGTGCTCTAAGAGCCCACAATAAGATGATCTTTAAACAAACAAAAAGTTGAATTGCAGAATCTCTTCTGTTATTTGTGTTTGTTATATTCACATAATCATAAATACAAGAATTGTGCAGTGATTTATTATATTTTACCTTGTTTTCTCAGATCAGAGTATTGATAGTTCTCAAAGTCTTTTAACAAATCAAGCTGGAACCATCTCACAGACCTTTTGAATTTCTTCTCTCAGTTTACCAGGTTCTAAATGTCAATATAAAGCCAAATCTATTGGCCGTGGAGGCAATTTCAACTCGTAGCGACTCTCTAGGATAGAGTAAAGCTACTTCATGGGTTTCCCAAGACTATGAATCTTTGTGGAAGGAGATAGATAGCCTCTTCTTTTTCCTAAAGAGTGGCTGGTGGGTTCAAACTGCAAACTTTTTGTGTAGCAGCTGAGCACGTTAACACTGTGCCAACCAGGGCTCCCGACAAGCTGTGTTATGGAGAAGTAAAGCTGGTGGAAGAGAGAGAGCACGTGAGAATGAAAAGAGGAGGGAAGATAATATGGTAAAGAAAAAAAAAAAGACATTTGAACAGTGCCTTTAGGAAATGATAAAGTGCTCCCTTTAGATGTTGGAGTAAGAATACCAAGAATCAGCAAGCATAAAGACACTAACATCTGAACACCCTACAGGCACAGCAAGGGGACCAGAATGCTTAACTCCTGAGGAGATGATGCCAGACCGGGTGATGGTTGTGGCAAGTAGCCATGAGCACAATCTGGCTTTTGGGAGTCTCCAAACAAGAGTCTCCTCTATGCACATGCTAGCTGGCGAGCCCCTGTGGCACACTGTTGGATGATAACCCCTAGGTCAGCTCAGTGGTTCAAGACTGCCTGCTGTAGGTTGGAATTGACTTGATGGCAGTGGGTTTTATAAGTTTATGTAAATGTGTATGTTTTATTTTCTTTTAATCATTCTTCAAGATATCTGTGAATGAGAAGAACTTTTTAAGGGTAGAACTTCTTTGATTTTATATTAGTATATCACTGAATTAATTATAAAGTAATTAGCTCTGGGCCTCATTGTATATAAATGTGAGGGATTTTCCAGAATTTGTGTGGAAAATGCATAATATGGAAAAATATATGCATGAATGTCAATTTTGAGAGCTATCAAATTATTAGTTGGGCTGCTAACTGCAAGGTCAACAGTTCAAAATCGCTAGCTGTTTCAAGCAAGAAAGAGGAGGCTTTCTACTCCCATAAAAATTACGGTCTCTCACATGACCCAGCAATCCCCCTACTGGGCATATACCCAGAAGAGACAAGAAACAAACCACGGCCAGACATCTGTGCTCCAGTGTTCACTGCAGCACAGTTCATAATCGCAAGGAGTTGGAAGCAACCCAAATTTCCATCAACAGACGAATGGATTAAAAAACGATGGTACATACGTACAATGGAGTACTATGCATCACTCAAAACCAGCGATGAACGCATGAAGCATATCACCGCATGGGAAGAACTGGAGGAAATAATGCTAAGTGAAGTAAGCCAAGCACAAAAGGACAAGTATAACATGAGTCCACTGAGGTAAGTTTGTGTGTATATA